ACCTAGCCATGCCTATGTGTGTTTATGATATTTACCATAACATTATATATATATTTAGTGGGTCTAAATGGTCGTAAAATGGGAAACTTGGGGTTGGGTCTTGGGTGCCTGAACCAATTAGAATAAATCCCATAGGTTCTGTACTTTCGTTATCGGCGGGGTCCCAATTAGGCGCGATAACCAAGGGATGACTGTACTGTACTGTATATACTTGTGACACTGGCCAGTTGCTTCTGGTGTTATGGTACAGGGGTACCAAGTGACAGCACTAGGATCCCGCTTCCTCTATCAAGGAATAAACAATTAAAATTTAAATTGAAAAAAAAAACATTCAAATAAATTACTATCTTACAAGAATCCCTCCAATGTAAGTTATATTCACCCAGGTCGTTTGGGTGGAAAATTATGAGAAGAGCTTAGTCACTCTTAAGTAATGATAAATAAACACGCAGGCAGGCCTTCAGCGCCAACTGTCAAATCTTATCTCAAATAAATAAACAAACAAACGCCAGACATTCTGTCACCTCACCTCCCGCCCCCTCTTCCCACCACCCTCGTGTTCAAGATAAAAGATTGGTGATTTCTTTATGTTTATTTTATATAATATCTCAGACTAAAGTTAGGATAATATAATTTGCATTGCTGAAATCCTTGCAAGACAGAGATTAATTTGAATATAAGTGTCATATATTTTGCTCAAGATATAAAAAATGTAGTACATTAGTGTACAATACTGTAGTACATTTTATAAAAAGTTTTTCAACTGTATTTTTGGGTAGATTTACATAAATTTCTTCATTTATTTTCATCCATTTACATGCACACACCAGACTAAAAGAAACGTAAAAGAAATAAATGACCTTAGTGCAAAGCTGGAGTGCACATGTACTAATTTGATTACGGTACTAAAATTGTTATGTCTAGTGCGAATTACAACATGTTTATATTCAAATAAATCAGTATCTTACAAGAATCCCAGCTATGTTAATTATATTCTCCCAGGTCATATCACTGGCATTTTAAAATCAGAGAAGCTTAGTAGGACTGTTAAAGAAAAACACAGAGACCTTCTGCTGAAACTTATCACCTCAACCCCCTTCCCCCCAGCCAGGCTTTTAGGCTTACAGTTTTTATCTTATATAATATCTCAGACTAAGGTTAGGAGATTATAATTTGCATTGCTGGAATCCTTGCAAGACAGCCAATAATTTGAATATAAACGTCATATATTTTGCTAAAGAGATAAAAATTGTTGTATATTAGTGTACAGTACTGTAGTACATTTTATAAAAAAGTTTTTCAACTGTGTTTTTGGGTAGATTTACATAGATTTCTTAGTGCAAAGCTGGAGTGCACATGTGCTAATTTGATTACGGTACTAAAATTGTTTTGTCTAGTGCAAAAATATAGCATGTTTATATTCAAATTAATCAGTATGTTACAAGAATCCCAGGTATGTTAATTATATTCACCCAGGTCATTTCACTGGCTTTTTATAAGAGAAGCTTAGTCACCTAAGAACTGATACATATACACGCGTTAGACCTGGGCCTGTGCCAACTGTCAAACGTACTACCTCCCCTCCCCCCACCCTCTCTCTCCCCCATCTGCCCAGCGTTGCTAGAATCCTTGTAAAACAGTGAATAATTTCAATATAAACGTCATGTATTTTGCACAAGAGATAAAATGTATTTTGCACAAGAGATAAAAATTAATCACCTGTATCACATTACAGTAGTGATTTAACAGTAAAAGTGTATATGTACGTATATAGTATTCCACATACACAGAAGTATAAATAAAAAGGTTATGTGATGATCGGACAACGTCCATATTCGGTTAATGTCATGTTTCCAAGAACGTATCTAGGACGTTAACCGGCGCATGACTGTACAGGCGAGTATGCCGTACAGGTTGACCATCAAAAATCCGGCAATTGATAAACCGGAACCTTCAGTTTTCCGGCATGGATTTCGGAGCGCATTTTCAAATTTCCTGCCTTGGCGCACCATTGTTTTCTGGACGCGCCGTTTATGTTTTGATAGCGCTGTACTCCAGAATCAGCTGTTGGGTCTTGCTTGCACCTGCTAACAAGCATTCATGCTCATTCCTTCTGATTTTATCATTTAATTAGCCTGGTAAACATTAATATTTCATTTGCTTTTCATTTAGTGTTTAATTTTCTTTTTCTTTTAAAGGACTGTACAGGTAGTAATTTTCTGTTAAATATACTGTATACAGCATATATAATAAAATTTCATTTGCTTTTCATTTGGTGTTTAATTTTCTTTGTTTAAAGGACTGTACAGGTAGTCATTTTCTGTTAAACTTATACAGCAAATATAACCATCAGTTTTCCGGCATTTTCGAAAATCCGGCACTCCTCAGGTCCTGAGGTTGCCGGATTTTTTATTGTCAACCTGTATAAGCAAAATCGCTATTTTTCAAATTGCTGCTCACTCAAATATGCATGAATCTTCAAAAAATTGCACGTGGGTATTTTTTATGTCAATATGCAACACAAGAATTTTGAACAGCATTGTAGGACAAAGTTGAACTCTACTGCGACGGAGACCTTGTTCTGTACGGAGCACGTGTAGTTGTCCCTGCTGCCTCACGTCCCCACGTCTTGGCTCGCCTTCACGACAGTCACCGTGGAGCTGAGGCCACCAAACGACGTGCACGACAGACTGTGTTCTGGCCCGGCATCGACTCCGACATCTCCAATGCTGTCCGTGCGTGTGAGCCCTGCCAAGTACTACAACCCAGCCAGCAGCAGGAATCCCTCATGAGTGACAACAACCCCACCCACCCCTTTGAGTCTGTGTCGGCTGACTTTTTCTCTGTCAAGAAAGTCCTTCCTTGTTATCGTCGACTGTCTCTCTGGTTGGCCGGTTGTCATCAAGTGCGGCAGTGATACGACGTCTGTCGCCACCATCAGCAAGTTCCGCCACTACTTCCATGACGTGGGCGTTCCTGTGCGCCTGCGAACAGACGGAGGGCCTCAGTTCACAAGCCGGGACTTTGCTGTGTTCCTTGACCGAAGGGGAGTCCGGCATGTGTTGTCATCGCCCCATTACCCGCAGTCCAACGGCCATACTGAGGCTGCTGTCAAATCCTTGAAGCACCTCATCCTTAAGGTGGCCCCTTCTGGGAATATTGACTGCGAGGCCTTCGACCGGGGTCTTCTTGAACTCCGCAACACACCTAACTACACCGGACGCTCCCCTGCCCAGGTCTTGTATGGACGCCCCCTTCGTTCTTGTGTCCCTGCTCACCCTCAATCCTTCTCCAAGGAGTGGCAGGCCAAGACAGAGGATTGTGATCGCCGAGCCGCCGAACGTGTTCATGAAGTCGTCGCCCGCTACAACGACCACGCCCGTCCTCTTCCCAAGTTGAGTGTTGGCACCCAAGTCGGTGTCTAGGACCCGACCTCCCTACGTTGGGACAAAGTAGGTCACGGGACTACCAGGTGCGGTTACCCAGTGGTCGTGTGTGGTGGAGGCACCGCCGTTTTCTCCGCCCCATAACAACGCCTTCTGCTGACCCCGCCACCAGTGTTGAGTCCCATACCCTCCCCAGTGATCAAGTCCCTCGACGCTCTGAACGGATCCAAAAGAAAAGGTCCACTCAAGACTTTGCTATGAGCGTATAGGGGGGGAGGGAGGTGTATGTATATTATGTATGATGTATGTATATTATGTATGCTGTATGTACATTATGTATGTGCTCCATTTATATACATTATTTATTCAGCCTAGCTAGCAGCGTGTGGCAATGTATTTACCATGTCCCACACGCTTAATTAATGTGCCTGGCGACATATGGAAGCTGCTAATGTATCACTTGCCACATGTCGCCTGAAAGGCTAGTTGACCCCCAGACAGAGTAAGGAGTGCCACCTCCCTTGTGTATCTCTGTTTGTCCAGTAAATAGAACCTACGAAAACTCTACAGGTGTTTGTGTTCGCTCCTGTAGATAGAACTTGGTACCCAGAACATATACAGAGACCTAGAAAATGAACGCTTAAACAGGTACCTTACTTTATCTTCTTCACAACTGATTGACTCGTTAGCCGCTTGGATGGTCGGTCACATCTCTGTTATGTGCACTGTTGGCAAGTACTGATCCTAAAGTGTATCTGAACCTGCAGTTATGCAAACCAAATCTCTACCACCTGCTTCAAGCACAGTGTCTACGTCATTAACTCATTCTTTTCACAACCCACGCAGGAGAATAGCTAAAGAGCATACAGCTGATTTGATTACTCTTTTAGCTCAATGCCAATTAGAAAAAATACTTCAGACGTTCCAATAAAAAAGCATATATGGTGCACTTATCAAAACTCTAATCAACAGTTATAAGTAAATTCTATAAACTTGTTTAACGAAAAATTAAATACAAAGTTTAATATAATTTTTTGTGTGTTACCTATACAGTCCTACAGTGAATATTTAGTAAAATTTTTTCCCATTAGTACAGTAAACCCTTGCTATTCGCAATTTTGACTCCAACTATTCACAGTAATCAGATGGTGGCTAGCTTACAAGCCTCTCCCACAGTGCAACGAGTCACCCCCACACGCCCGCAGCGTCTCCTTTCCCTCCTCTCCCTTGTTTGCTCTAAACCAGTGCCTGCAACACTTTAGTGTTTCTGTGTAAAATGGCCCCTTAAAGACTGCTTAGTGTCAGTGCTAGTGATGCTCATGGAGTGAAATGTTTAGAGACCTCAAAGGCAAGAGAAAACAACTACCAATCAGGATGATTTTCAAGGAAAAACCACCCACTCACCCAGCTGATTCATCTCCCTCACATAATACAGTACTGTATAGTGTTATCCTACTGCCATACACATCATGCCTTCTGGGCACTGGCAGGGGTGCACAGCCCAGGAGCTCTAAGTGATCTATCTTGCAGGTCACTTGCAAGTCTTCTTAATCCCCCCCCCTCCTGAAAAAAAGCCAAAAAAGGAAACATAATAAAAGCAATATTGTTACTTACCTTTTATTGGATGTGCAAGATGTACAAAATGTTCCATTTTGTAGAGCTAATTTGATGTTACGACATGACACATGCAGCATATTAGTTCGGGAAAACATTTTTGAGACGCTCTGGAAAGAAAGTACCAGTAACATTCAAAGTAATACAGTACTTAAATATTTGCAAGAAACAAAACAAAATTATACACCCAAAAAACACAAGGTTTGAGATGATATATATATTATATTCTACTTTTTAGTATTGTACCTGTAGTTTTGTGAGGTACCTGTGAGTTACCTTTTACCAATATACAGATAGACCCCGACTTACGACGGGGTTAGGGACCCAAATCCAGGTCGCAAGTCCGACATAGATAAAAAAAAAAAAAAAATTTTTAATAAATAAATAATCTACAATGAAATACAGTACAGTAAAAGTAATGAATAATGAGGAATGGATACAGTACAGTGAAAGTAATAAATAATAAGGAATGGTTACAGTGTGACTGAGCACTTACCTTTAATGTAGTCAGCTGAATGCACATGGGGCCCCCATAATTTTCTAATTATACATGGAGACTACATTAACTGAAAACGTTTCGGTATAGAAAATGCGTGTCATTTAAAAAAAAAAAATTTTTAAATCTGCGGCGGTCGTAAGTCCCGACGGTCGTAAGTCGTAGCAGTCGTAAGTCGGGGTCTGTCTGTATATATATTTCATTAGCCCAATAAACATGCGGACTTCTACATACAATCAACACCTCAACCCGCCAGGATTCGAACCCACAGCCCACGAGCCCATGACTGTGACTGGGGAACGCTGATCGCTGGACCACGAGGATACTAAAAGCAGTCCTAGACTCTGTTATATTTCACACAAAGCCTGTTCAGCAAGCTTATGGCGCCGTGAACCTCTAATGGGGACTACCCGTATCACGTAGGTGGTCAGAGTAACGTTTTACCAAATCCGGCTTCGAAACAAGAGGATCCATATATATTTCATTAGCCCAATAGCACGCGGACTTCTACATACAATCAACACCTCAACCCGCCAGGATTCGAACCCACGGCCCACAAGCCCATGACTGTGACCGGGGAACGCTAACCGCTGGACCACAAGGATACTAAAAGCAGTCCTAGACATGTTCCTTTCTCCAAATCTTGAATTATCTGGTATTTCATTTCGTAGCTTAGGGAATGTCGTATCTTCTTTGGCTTAGGGCGGCTGGGTCCAGGTAAGGAAAGGTTTATCTCTGGTGGAGGTGGTCCGGCGGAAGCCATTTCACAGAACAATGGATGCACATATACACGGTGTGGCCTGGAGGGATGAAACTGCTGCGGTTAGGTCAAGCGTCGTCTTTCCTCCCTCCCTCCCGCGGGTGGACACGTCATATTACTTTAAATCAATCACAGCTAGCAGCGGAGGGAGGTAAGGATGCATGGCCAATCACAGTCCGATACGTCATATGACGTCACTGATAGCGCAACAGACATGCACTGCGCAACCTTACCGAGCGGCTTGCCCAGGCGGGAGGGTCGAATCTAAAAATAGCGTCGAGCCGGACACTCTGCGCGTATATGGGTAGATGCACCGCGGAAAGTGAAAGTTCGGTTCTGGCGAGGCACCGCATAAATGAGAAATCGCGGAAAGTGAAACCGCGTAAAGCGGGGTAATACTGTATTAATATTGATGGTAGTTATGTACAATCAAAGACAAAAGTCCTGTCGCGGTTTTGTCCGAAGATTAAATATAACTCACGAAAAATTATGAAAGCCCTACCACAAGGCAGAGCCCACCAAAAGTTTTAGCCCTACGGCATAGGTTTTCACCAAATTTCACGACACTACTTTTGTCTTTCATTGTACATAGAAATGTTGGCAGGAAATAAACTACAGAGCAATCAGTCTATCGAGTTTGTCAGGAAAAAACTCAGCAGATTGGTGCAGAGGACTTCCAGGGATGAGATATTCCTGGATAATGAGATGACTTTCAAGCCTGGAAAAATTCCACATCCATGGAAATTTTCCAGTTACTGGGATGATCATGGCTAACCTAACTTTGGAATTTATTCCCCAACTCGGAACAGAAAAATTTGAAACCTTCAGTAATTTTCCAGAATTACTCATCAATTCCTCCTTGAAATTTGCTTACAGACCAGGAAAAAATGAAGACTTTTTTAAATTTTCAGGAAATACCCGATTTTCAACATTGGAAATTTGTTCGCGGGCCCAGACTGTAGAGAGTTTTCCTGGAGAAAATCCGAGCCGATTTCAATACTGGGCCTTGAAGAGTTCGGGCTAATGGAAAGATTAGCTGGAAACATAACAAGAAATGGGATCCTTGCTACTGTTTATCTTTTTCAACTAGCTAGCAAATTTCTGCTTTGCTACATTATTATTGACTGCTAGGCCGTCTGCATCCTCTTGTTCAAGCATTTCCAAAAGACGAATCCGTCTTTTGACAGTAACTGTGGAGTTAACAGCATCAATAGGTATTCTGTCACATTTTACTGTTCATACTGTAAGGATCATCCTGAATGGTGTAGGTTGGGTTAGATTAGGAAAGAGTAGAGTAGGGTAGTACAGGATAGGATAGGTTAGGTTAGGATAGGCTAGGGTCGGTTAGTTTAGGATTAATTAAAGTAACCAACACTACGGTGTGTGTTGGAATAACATGAGATCTCCGGGTTACACAACCTATTACAGGATGTACTGGGTAATTCATTACAAAGTAAGATTTATTCCCAAGGAAACCTATAATATCCCATTAAATTCTCATCCCTCACGTCCGGTGGATCACAAAATCTGCATTTTTTTATGTATGTTAATGTGATTATCTGCATTTTTAGCACCAATAAGGTGAGCAGCTAACATCAATGCCATTTTTATTTTCCTATATATACTGTATTAGGAATTTAAGTTTAGATTCGGTTGAAATGTTTTTCCGGTAGTTTTTGTGGTTAATATTCGTCCATTGGCTGTCCACAGGTTCCCGCCATGCTTACCTGAGGTTATACTTCACTTAAAGTCAGAATTTAATTGAGTTGAAACAGTTCATTTAGCCAGAAAAACACAGATACAGAGTGGATAATAATAACAATATTAACATGGCTGAGCCAGTTGAGAACCTGAGCTCTCCTGTAGGCACCTGATATATACTATACATTTCTCTCAAGGAAGTATTATGTAACATTTAGTAACATCTGGAATAGTACAATAGCATGGTGGTAATAAGAACATCTCAAAATGTTACCATGGTTATCACTTGAATATTTATTTATTTATTATATTTTATTTTTATATTATAAGTATATACAATACAGTACATAAATTATGGTGGAATTGAAAATCATAAATATAATGGGGAAGCAGTGCAATATGGGTTGTACAGAGCTGTCAGGATTATGTCTAGTTGGCAAATATATTTATTGCAATGGTAATTTCTTAGCTATTTACATGATAATTTCTGATAAAATGGTTTTGATGGTACAATAAAAGCAGGTACTGTAAATATAGTAGGTGTTACAAGAAATATTAATACTTAGACAATACTGTAGATATTTTTTAAGAGATGATTTAAAGGAAGGGAGTGTAGTCTTTGCTTGATATCTTATGGAGGTCTGGGACTGAGAGGAGTGCATGGGGGTTGGTCTTAGTAGCTCTGGGTGCCTTAAGTTGTATCTCTGATTATTCCGGAACTGGAAATAATTATTATCAAGCAAGTGATTGATAGATTTGTAAACAAAGAGGGCACAGCAGTAGGTGTTATCATCTTCGAATTTTAACATTTTCAATTTAGCAAATTTTTCGTTTGTGTGATCTGTTTTTTTTCAAGTAGGCCATTGTCCAAACAACCCTCTTTTGTGCAGTAACCAGGGATTGTGTTTTCAAACAGCCAGAGGCCCCCCATAGTGTGTGACAGTGTATCAGGTGTTGGTAAACAAGACCATGATAGATTTCTTTAATTGCTGTGAGTGAGTGACTGTCGAGTGTGATACACGATACCACACTGTTTAATGACTTTACTGTGAATGGCTTGTATGTGGTTTCTCCAGTTAAGTTTCTCATCAACAATAACTCCGAGGAATTTAGTATTTTGTTCGCGTTTGAGGACTGTATTACCAAGGTACAGGGGTCCAAGTCTTTCCTTCTGTGAAAGATCATGTAGTGGGTTTTCTCAAGGTTTAAGGTCAGATTATTACATATTACCCAGGTCCTGACTTTAGTCAATTCAGTGTTCTTAGTTCTCATCAAGGAATGGAGGTTGTGTTGCTGGCATAGATTACTATCGTCTGCAAAAAAGTTATGAGTGTGCTGGCGTGGACTATGTCGTTTATGTACAACAAAAACAGTACTGGACCAAGAATGGAACCTTAGGGGACACCATACAAGATTGACGAGGAGTCAGATTGGTGATTATTATAGCAGACAGACTGCTTCCTATGAGACAGATATGAGGGAAACCAATTGTGGGACAGGCCCCTAACGCCATAATGTTCAAGCTTTGACAGGAGGATGGTATGGTCGACAGTATCGAAGGCTTTAGAGAGGTCCAAGAATATACCGACTGTTAGTAAAGGCTAGCAGAGCACTCTCAGTCGACCTTCTAGCTCTAAATCCAAACTGGGAATCTGTAAAGATGTTATTGGCATCGCAGAAGGAATTTAGTCTACTACATGCTAGCTTCTCCAGTATCTTATTCAAGACTGGGAAGACTGATATGGGGCAGCAATTCTTGAAGAGACCTTTGTCCCCAGATTTTTTTATGTGCTGGGTGAACTTTAACAATTTTCAGTTTATCTGGAAAGACACCACTAGTGAAGGAGGAGTTACAAAATTGTAGAACAGGTAGTAATAAGTGGGCTACTTTCTTAATGATGCTCATTGGTATATTGTAGGTTGGTTCTTTTGATAATAGGTTTTCTTTCTTTTTTTTCTTTCTTTTTTTTGGAAGGGGGGGTGGGTGTTTTACTCTATTTTTGTACAAATTATGTGTTAAAAATTAAAATGTTCATTTTTGGGGAAAAAACAAAACAAAACAAAAACACTAATTTCCACAAGAAAGGAAGGTCATATTTGAGTAAAAAACACGGAAAAAATGGTAATTATATATGTCTAACCCGCGGAAGATA